CTTCCATCCTAATCTGTCTCCATCTTAGTGACAGCCCCCTTGTGGTACCCATGAGGCGCTGTGCCCTCAAGTCAGGGTTAAGGCCACTGGCTCCTCTTCCTCCAGCACGCTGACCTGCTTTCCTTCCGTGGAGCCCGGACTCAGGTCATCTCATAGACTTGGGATGGCTTCCCTCCTCTGTGCCTAAGCTCACTCTACCCTCCTTCTAAGCCACAGCTCAAAATTCATCTCATCTAGAAGAGATACTTCCTCTCACACACGCCAGATATTCCCTAAGGCCCAAGCTAGCCTAAATCACCACCTTCCTTTAAAAGGCACCTTTGTCATCACTTTACAGGAGGTGAACTGGACTGACCGCTCCTGGCCACTGTAACACGCAGAGGGCAAGCATTCTGAGTCATCGTGATGCCCTCACCTTGAGAATGGACTGTACCCTCAAAGTGCTCAATGCATACTCCCCAAAGGGCCAACGCAAAGACAACAGAGAAGTCCCATTGCTCTACTGAGAGGGAACATTTATCACGAGAACAGAACACTGAGGAGGCCTTGAAGAGTCTCTAGCCCAGTTGCATCACAGATAGGAAAGTGGTAGAACTCTGGGTCCAGTGTCCCAGGTCCCGTGATGTCTGCTGCTGTGTCGCCAGGCTAAACACAGTCTGCCTTTGCTTCTCTGTTTTTGCATTTTATTTTTAATAGTAAATGTGTATCCCAAGCATGCCAAGGCAACTGGCAACTCCTCCGCTGGACACAGTAGTGAGGAGACTGGGAATTAGAACAAGAAACAGATACTCACCATTTCTACTGCTTTCAGGCCACTTCGCAATGTGCTTATTTCTTTGTCCAGCTCAGTCATGCTGTTGTAAATGGCAGCATTTTAGTAACTAACATGGGATTTATACTTGTGCATTAAATGTATGATGAGTTTAAATACTTCATTCTTGGTCATCCACACTATATTGTTTAAAATTTTTAAAATTCATTTTAAATGCTTAAAATTCCCTTCAGCATTCAGATCTCACAGAAAGGCAGCAACATTTTAAACTTATGAAATTTAGGTATGGGATTATGTTTCTTGTTTTCCATAGCCAGCAGGTATGAGATATATATATATATATATGTATATAAATACACATACATATATGTATATTGATTAAAACATGTCATATTTCTATTTTGTCCTTTTTAATCTCACAAAAATTTCACTTAAGCAAATTACTGTAGGTAGAAATAATTTCTTGCCATGTGTGACTTCCTTTGGACAAGGGAAAGAAAGAGCTGAGGCACAATCATGTGTGTGCTGTGCTCATCATTACTGTATTGCTTTTCACGAAAACTCTGATAGTATGAGCGCTTCCCATGTGGCTCAGCTGGTAAAGAATCTGCCTGCAATGCGGGAGACCTGGGTTCGATCCCTGGGTTGGGGAGATCTCCTGGAGAAGGGAAAGACTACCCACTCCAGTATTCTGGCCTGGAGAATTCCATGGACTGTATAGTCCATGGGGTTGCAAAGAGTCAGACAATACTGAGAGACTTTCACTTTCACTGACAGTATGACTATTACAAGGTGATAGCCTACATTTCAATCAAAAATGATTTTTCTTAAAGTTTCACTAACTAGTTTTCATTTTTGTTGACTTTTTTCTAAAACAAGGTTTCCTAGACTTTTCTCATAATGCTTTTTATTTGATGGCTTTAAACATTAGAGATTATAACCATTCTCACAGAGAATTTACATGTAAACAAATTCACCAATACTTCATTTACCTTCACATTTTAATTTCATGTCTTACATCATGGTACATTTCTCCCAAACTCTACAGAGGAAAAAAATTAGGCTGCTCATCGGATTTTTCAAAATGACTGCAAAAAGATGTGGTTTAAAGTATTTCTTTTTTAAAGCGGGGCGGGGGGGGGGGGGGGGGGAAGCTGGGTGCAATAGGAGGAGCAGCAAGGAAAAGTGCCTGCCCCTCACGAGGTCTCTGAAAAGTGGTGTGAAGTTTATGGGGAAAACTTGGCGACTTTCTACTTTATTTGTATTCCTTCATTTGCATAAAGACTGTCTTCCATTAAAAGGCTGCTTGGTTTCTGGGAGTGTATGCACCTGGGAAAATTGATACTAGCAACGCCCTGACCTGCAGCACTTCTATTTGCTTAACGACATATCCTCATTTAACTAAGGGTGCTCCCACCTGTATTTTAAGAGAACTACCCCTTCCAACTACTAGTGAAACCACATTTCTTCCTTCTATCTTCATAACTCAGAAAATTAGGTTTTGCAGAAGTTAAAAACTGTATCCAGGAGTATTCCAAAACAGCTAGAACAAGTATACACAACATATGCTCACAGAATATGTTCAACAATACCTTGAACAACACAAACTGTGAGGGTCATTTATACACAATTTTTTCCCAGTAATTATGGACTAAGTGATTTGTGGCTGACTGATTCCTCAGATGTGGAACCATGGATATGGAGGAACTCATATAGGAAGGGTCAACTATAAAGTTACATGTTGGATTTTCAAACTGTGCAGTGGGAGTTAGGGAGTGTGTTGGCACCCTTAACTCCCTTCTTCAAGAGTTAATCATATATTCAAAATTATGTAATACATCTGGGTGACTTGGAAATGATTCAAACTACTTCATATAGTATTCAGGGGAAAGCAAGACAGAAGGACCCTCTTAAGGTAACACTAACTATCTCAATGGCTAAAGCACAGACAAGGGATTTGAAAAGCTGAAATGATTCACTCTTAGTACTTACTTTACTTTTGCTGCTTGAGGAATGTCCCGCAGCTCCTCATTTAGATTGAGAACCTTGGGGTATTTATTTTCCACAATAGTGATGAGATAGTGCAAAAGTGTAATGTTCCTACAGTTAGAGGAGAGAGTATTAGACATGGTTGATATTGGCATATGATTTGCATATTCAAGTGTCTGATTCCAAAAGAAAGCTATATTCCTACAATACTTTTAAAATTTGGAGGTTCCTGTAAAGCAGGAATTCTCAAGAGACAGGGATAAGAGGAGAGTCTTCATGGGATTTACATAAATAGATGTCAAAAGAAGCACACATCTTCTGAAACAGAAGGGCAGGGGATAAGAATTACATTTTGGCCTGTAATGAGGACCCTTCCAAATCTGGGTAATGCGATGAGTGATGAAAATGAGTCTGAACCAATGCCAATGGGGACATCCCTTCACAGTGCACCCACCCAAAGACGAGGCCTGCCCTGCCAGTTCAGGACAAAGCAGGTTGGGGTGGGGAGTGAGGGATGTCTATCTAATGCACGAAAGAGGACGGTTAATTTTCAAGTCTGAAAGTACAGAGCAGTGACCCACTGATGGGAATTACCAAGAATTCTCATTTAAGGTTTCTTTGGTCTGGGGGATAACATTTTCCCCTTTTGACTCATTTGTTTTTCTCTCCCCCACTCTGACCTCATCTGTTTTGCTGCTGTAGCAAAGGGTGGCTGGAAAGTTAGGAAGCCGCCCCCATTTCAGGGCAGGGCCTGGAACTGGGGCAGGATTGTGCCATCATGGGTATGATATCCTCGCAGCCTAATTTTAGCAACACTTCAGCTCCTAACTGCATAACTGGCTCCCTCTTCAGTGTTGACAGGGCTGAACCCTGACTGACCTGGGCTGAAAAGGCAGGCATCTGATAACTGTATCCATGAGGCCATGCAGTAGGAGTCTGGTCCCCTTGTCCCTGACTCCAATGCACACTACAATCACGTGAACCCCAGATGCCTGGGTCAACCTGGGATTCATCAGTTGGAATGAAGTGGGAGCCAGGCTGAGTAATTTTAAAAACTTCCCACTATCAAGAACCACTCAGTCTGTTGAAAGTTACCATAATTAGGAGGACACAAATACATTGCTTAAAAACAATTTCCATAATTTTTAGGCAGTTCAGTAATTCACAAGGCTAAGTCACAACAGTCTCCCCAGCAACTAAAGTGAAGCAAAGTTGACAAACAATTTTTTTCCATATCAATGCAAACCATTTCTGGTTACCCTTGTAGCTTCCTAGAAGTCAGTGCAATCCTATTCCTCTGAGATAACTGGTTCACATGGAAAAAAATTTCCCCTTATTTTTCTTGCTTTCAATAATTAGAGGGCCATTGTTCAGCAAAGTAAAACAGTAGCTAATAGTTCTGGTCACTTATTTTGCAGATGTTCAGCTGTATTGTTCCATTTCAATTTTGCCATTCACAGAATCTATGTGTCTGCCATGTGCTAGTTGCATGAGGGGCAAATTCCAGATCCCATCATGAGAAAGACTAATGCTGTTTTCCTTCATTATTTCAGAGAAATAAATGTATTTAATTAATCATATATACCTTTTTTGGTTTGTGTGGAGAAAGACTTAAACTAGATCAGAGTTTCTATATTTGTTATCCAAATAACACCTGGTTTGAATGAATAGAAATTCTTGAATAATAAAAATAATAACTAAACATCTCACATTGGATTATTCTCTGGTCATTACCATAAACAAGCCTATATAATGCAGAGTGAAGAGGAAAAAAGAAAAAGATCAGAAATGGTTTTGTTTTTTAATGTTTTGAAAAGGCTAAGTGTGTACTGGAGAAATTTTTATATTAACTAATAGATAATCATGTAGTAAGTGCCAGGTTATCAGTAAGTTGGAAGGGTGGGGTGCAAAGGGTATTAAGGGCATGTTATGTGTGCACACACCTGTGTGTGGAGTGGGGGGCTGGAGGGAGGATAAGACTGACTGGTGGTGAGGGTTTTCTTCTGCCCCAACCTATAAGGCCAGGGAAAGAGAACTCCCTTTTTTAAAAGATGGCTGCTCTTCATATGCAAGTAAGATGCTGCAACCTTCAAATAAGATCTGCCTGTTGGTAGAGGAAAGCTGTGGGCAGACCACCAGAACAGTTGTCAAATACCTGTAAGGCCAAACACCTTGCTGGCTGTGACCTCAGACAAGCTAAATGAGACCCCTGACCCTGCCTTTCTTTATCTGACAACAGGCAATACAGCACTTGGCCTGGGGACTTCACAGGCTGTTGTGACAACCCGATGTGATGTGATGTGAAAGGGCTCTGAAAGGATCAAGTGCTTCCATGAAAAATAAGGTGGTGGTGAGAGAATATATCAGCTGCCCTTTGTTAATCTATTTCTACACAATGCAAAAATAAGGCTTAGCTTTACAACTAAACACATTGCTTATTTCTTATAGGATGGATTCAAGGTTGCCATTATGCTATGCTTCACTAATCCTATAGAAAATACAGAGTAAAAAGCTCACTGGTTGGGAATAATTAGGGTGAACAGCCATATTTCTAAAAAGAATTCAGGTTACAGAGAAGTTTACCTTAGAAACAAATTCATTCCAAGACGGTGAGAACCTTAGAGAACCACAGTTCTCAGAGAAGCTAGAGTTAATATGCCTAATGCCCTTGCCAGTAAATGACACCAGTCCATTTTCATATCCTGGCATCTCTAACAAAAACTTGTTTACCTAAAACACACTTTCTACGAAGCATTTTAATGAGTCTTGGGGTGAGCAGCTGAACATCAACAGCCAGAACGCATGTATACTCATCTTTGCATACAGCTGCTCACTTCCAGGTACCAAGGAAAACAATCTAAAAAACCAGCAAGCCTCACATCCTAGCCTCAGCTGTTAGTTTATCTTTGTGGAGGAGTAGCAATTAGGAGAGGTCACGAGAAGACTATTAGGATGCTGTTAATGTTCTGTTTTTCAATCTGGGCATTACTTATACAGATGTGTTCAATTTGTGAAAACTCATCTAGCTGTATATTTCCGGTGTGTGAACTTGCCTTTCACGTATTACATGATACAAAATGTTTACCTGAGAAAACCCCAAACACAAAAACTTGGACTAGATGCTATCCTTGTGGAATGAAAGCGAAGGATAACTGGCCCAGTTGGAACTTGGGATTCGCATGGTCCTGAGTTGAGAGAGGATCAGTGTCGGAGGAGGACGAGAAGGAGAAGTGCAGACCAGACACTTGAGTGTCAGGAGGCCCAGAGGTGCAAAGCTGAGCCCCAACTTAAGTATTCACGTCCTCCATACTTACTTGTCAATACTGGATTTGGTGTCAGCGATCTTATTTAGGCTGGATATCTTGAATCCATACGCATTGCCTCTCTGGCCTTTATTCATGTAATTTCCAAATGCCAAAACCACTTCCAGCAGCTGCTTCAGGGCACCACTCCTAAACACCTCTTCTGAGCCAGAACGAATTGCTTAAAAACAAGAATACACGAAACTATTACAACCAAGACTTTTCAGTGATACTCATCCTAAATCCACACACCTGATAACAGATACCAAAGATGTAAGATGGGGTCATTAGATTATCTGGGAGCACTTTCTGAACACCTATACCAGAAGCAAGACATGAGGGGGCAAGGAGAGTCAGCTCAGGTTGTTCAAGAGACCCAGAGGCAGCTGCACAACCCCAGCCTTTCTTTTTCGTGGTTGACTCACCAACCATAAGCAGTTAGGAATACATAGAGCATTGACTGCATTTTCCACATTCCTTTGCAAACCCTTTCTTGCCTGGTGTGAGTCAGATCACAGGACCATTGATCAACCAGTAGAAAAACTGGGCAAACGTGTGACATGTCACAGAGGGCAGGTGTCACCAGGGCCCCAGGGCCAGCCTGCACTCTGTGCTGCGCTCTTCCGTTGCCCACATTTCAAACAGCTAAAAATCGAATAGCCTCAAAATCAAACCACCTACCAGCCTCAAATCTTCCTTTAGAAAAATCCAGTAAGGCCCCATTGCAAGAAAGCTAACTGTAGGTTTGGTGTTAGTAGCAATCAAATTCCTCACCAACACCTAGATAGCAAAAGCCCAGGGGTTGTGTGTGAACTCCAGGATTCAGGCTAGGACAGCAAGGGGAGTGCAGACCTAAAGTAATTATCTGCCAGAATTCCAGCAGATTTCAAGGAAAAAAAATCACCAAAGGGATCCTATTGACTATATGCACTTGCATTGCACTTGTACATGAGCACTTGGGATGAACAGCATTTCCATTCTGAGGGACTTGACTTTACCTTCTACTTTGGGTTTCACTTCTGCTACACGCTCTGCAAACTTCTTTTTGAAGTACAGCGATTGCAGTCTTTGTTGATAATGATTAATTCTGCAAAAGCAAGCATCGACTAATGAACACTTAGTACACCTATGTTCCCTCACAGGTGACAGCACCTTGGAGCACCTGTGCTGCCTTTCCCCCTTCTTCTCCCCCCTCCCCCCCGAGAGTTCCTCTCCTGGACAGAAGCACAGGGCCTGAGCCCAACTATGCCTGCAGAACCCACTTCCCACTGCCCTACAGGCCATGTTCCGGCAAGGGCAGCAGGTCCTCAGCTCCAGTCAGCTCAGGCAGCTGCTAAAAGAAACTGGGAGCTAACTGCTGTTGACTGAAGCCCCTTCTCTTCCTCAGAGTCCCAGCAGCTCTTAAGAACAGAAAAGCAACAAAAAGGAATGAAAACGTAAGACCCCCCCTCTTCCGCTGCAAATAAGAGGCGGTTGCTTGCCCCCCTCCTGTGCTGCCTCACTTTCCACAAATGTGCCTTTGACAGAATTTTAGGGTAAAACTTGTCTCCAGGTTTCTTTCCTTACGCCGTCTCTCCCCACTCATGTCCCCAAACCTTCCTCTTTCTTCACAGCTGGCTCCCTATCTGGGCCCCTCAGACCTGGAAAGCTCTGCCTTCCAGGAGAGCAACTAGCACCTAGAGGTAACAGGGCGCTGGCCTCCGACCACCACCAAGACAGGCTGCCTGGTGTTTCTGAGTGGGTGAGAGTGGGCACTTCTGCCAGACCTTCTGAAATCACTGCTTGATCTGCTCTTCAGTGGAAACTTCAGTTCAGGAGGACCAGGGATCAGCCCTCATCCCAAACTATGCCAAATAATCAGACAGATGCAGCCCAGGTTCTGTTCTTATTCAGTGACCTTGAGCAGGAATCTTAACTCCTCCATTAGCTGGCAGAAAATATCTCCCTGCCTGACAGCCCTCCTGGCAGTGCTGATAGAAGGATTAAGATGCATGCAAAGACCCAGACAGTTACTAAGGGGCAGCTACTGTGGTCCACACGAAGGGACAAATGCACACCTGTCAAAATTTCAAAACCACCCTTTATTCTACAGTAGTATATGAAATGGCAAGTTGAGGTGAAACAAAAATAAGTTCAGACACAGCAGAAATGCAGAGAGAGAGGCATAATTACCTTGGCCACCACGTAGGCCATCGGCACTCAGGGGAGGCGCTCTGTCCTGAGGTTGACTTAGAGTTTCAGGACCACTGGTCCTTGCCTAATGCAGAATCAATTCGCTAGGCCTGGGATGGCAAATCGACTCAGCTCACATGCCAAATTCAATTATGGAGCAGAGGCTGCCGTGGGGCTTTCTGGAGAAGGGCTGAGAAAGCTTGCCAAGGCTCCGTGGGAAGAGTGCCATGATTGATTAGTGATGTCTGCAAGTGTCATGATTTGACATCTAGGCCCTGGTTATTTAGTTATGTGGGCTCCAGGCTGTTACCTCTGACTCTGTCCACTGTTTTCTATTTTACAACAACCTTGAGATGTTGAAGTACAAGGAGGAGTGAGCTAGAATCCCAAGAGATCAAAGTGGTGAGAAGAATGACGCTGACTGGAACCAGGAAAAGTTAACTTGATTAGATCAAAGTACATGAGTCAGAGGCCCAGAGATAGAGATAATTGTGAAGAAATCCTGACCCTGGCTTACCCATGGGTAAGAACGCACAAAAACAGAACAGTCAAGTTCCACACAACTCAGATTTGAGGAGATTTGGTGGATTTAAAAAGACTTCAAGTTAAGCCAGGTTAATTGGCCCAGATAATTCAACAGGAATCAAAAGTTTCACTTCCTTAGAAAGGCCAGGGGCATCTTTGCTTTTGAAACATTTCCAAACTTACCTGCTCATCTCAAAAAGGAATCTGTCAGCCTTGGCCATCCGATCCAGTTCATGTTTATGTTCCTCCAACAGGTCAATATCACTTTTTTCGGGAACAAATTTCAAGAGCTAGAAAGTACACACAAATATTAAAACTGAGGTTTATAATTAAAATTCTTGTCCTGATTTTTCACCCTTTCAGTTAAATTTGTCCCAAGATGAAATTTTAATTTTTAATTTATAAGCTCTCCTCATAGGTGACTGTTAAGATATAACAGACATGATAAAATCTTTCCATTTAGGTGGCCAAAAGGTACAAACTTCCAGTTACAAGATAAACTGGTACTGGGGATGTAATGTACAACATGATGGTTATAATTAACACTGCTTCTTGATATATATGAAAACTATTAAGAGAGTAAATCCTAAAAGTTCTCATCACAAAGGAAGAAAAACTTTTGCTTTAAAAAATTTTTATCTATATGAAATGACAGGTGCTAATTTAACATTATGGAAACCATTTCAAATTTGTTAGTCAAACCATTATGCCACACACCTTAAATTTATAGTGATGTATATTTCAATCAAAATGGGGGGAAAAAACTTTCTATTTTCACTTGAAAGTAGTTAAAGTGATGTAAGATTCACTTCTGGTACCTATCTGTTCTTTAATGCCTCTCAATCAGAATTGAGAAGTTCCTTCCCGGACCTGCTTTACAAATACCATTAGAAGGACCCTGGAGTCCACAAGTCTGTTCTATACATCTGTGTCTCTTTTTCTGTTTTGCATATAGGGTTATCATTACCATCTTTCTCAATTCCATATATATGTGTTAGTATACTGTAATGGTCTTTATCTTTCTGGCTTACTTCGCTCTGTATAATGGGCTCCAGTTTCACCCATCTCATTAGAACAGACTTGTGGACTCTGGGAGAAGGCGAGGGTGGGATGTTTCAAGAGAACAGCATTGAAACATGTATATTATCTAGGGTGAAACAGATCACCAGCCCAGGTTGGGTGCATGAGACAAGTGCTCGGGCCTGGTGCACTGGGAAGACCCAGAGGGATTGGGTGGAGAGGGAGGTGGGAGGGGGGACTGGGATGGGGAATACATGTAAATCCATGGCTAATTCATTTCAATGTATGACAAAAACTACTGTAATGATGTAAAGTAATTCGCTTC